GCTTTGCTTCCTTGTTGAAAGTGAAAGTAGCCGTAGCACGGAGGTTTTTTTCCTCTTTACGGATGGAGCGAACGGAAGACTCATTCAAGTCGAAATGGCGTGCAACCTCCACGTTTTCTTGCCATCTTTGATCATATCCAAAAGTTTTACCTTTTCCTGGATGGTGAACATCTTCCTCTGGCGCTTATTTTTATTTTCAGAAGGCTTAGAAGAAGCAGCTCGTTTAGGAGCCATCATGGGGCTTAGATAAAATTTCTTAAAAATCGCAAACAATTACAGTACACTGTACAAAAGCAAAAATGCATCTGATACGTAGCTCCGATACGTAGCGATGCAGACAGAAGCGTGTACAGTATGAGCCAATCAGTGGCAGTAATGACAGAGCATGCGCTGTTACGCAAAAGCCGCGGAAGTCGAAGCGTGAAGTGGCGAGGGTTCACTGTATCTCCATTTCTTCATCTGTTTTCAGGATTGACCCCTAATCTCTTGTAAGGCCCTAAGCATCATTCTCTTGTATTCTCTGTGTCAATTCAAGGGCTTCGTCTGTATATTCCATTGTGTTTGGGTTATCTTCAGTAGTTGACCTTTTTTTTTTTTTTTACTTAAGTAGTTGATTTATTGTGATAGTTGCTGTTTGCTCTTCTTTACGTTGCTTAGTGGCTGAGCTGTAGGTGATGCATAGACTTCTGGGTTGTGTAGCGGGGAGGGAAGTGCTGGGTTCTCTTTCTTTTGGCAGGAAAAAAGAGTTTTGTGGTTTTATTTCTCATTAGAAAATAGGTACAAATCTAGTAAACTCTTGGAGGCTGCTGCAGGTCTAGCTGTTTTTCTGTCTTACTGGGGTGACATCCCTTTTGAGATAGCTGAGGTTATTTATTGAAGAGCTGTGCTCTTGTAAGGAGGGGAGGGAATGTGACTTTGGTAAGGGATTGCAGCTTTGAAAGCTCTAATTCAGTGGGCCACTGTGGGCATGGGGCTGTACGCTGGACTTGGGGGGAGCAAACTGTCTTGGAATATTTCACCACACTGGTGGGTCACAGAACCATATGAGAATGGAGGTGGCTGGCAGTCACTGCCCTACTTACCCTGCTATGGAAGAGGAAACATAAGATTCTGGGCATAGTGAGTTGGGAACACTGCAGCGAGCTCAGCTAAGCTTTCATGGGTGAAAATCGGAGAGGGAGATCTGGAAAAATAAACCCTGGGATGCTGAGAGTCTAGGTCTCACATCCTATTTCCCAGAGTTGGCCTCTTCACCTGTTGATCTGCTGGTCACCCAATGGGAACTCTAAGCAGGTGATTCTACATTGGTGCCATTTCTCCAGAAGTTCCCCTCTTCTTGAAATCTTGATAAATTTAAGCATCTCATTCTATTGGCATGGATCTATAATTATGCTCTTTTTGTAATTTTTATCTATAAGTAATTTTAATTTTGATTAATCTCAAGAAGTTTGTATATTTCTTTCCAAAGAACTACTTTAGTCCTATTAAATAAGTTACAAATAAAAGAACAGAATGAATACTAAAAACTGAGAAAGTAGGAGTTAATTAAAGTAAAAATAGCCAGACTAGTTGATATTGAGTCAATTCTGACTTAAGGTGATTTCCATGAGTGTCAAATTAGCTGTACTCCATTAGGCTATTAAAAAAACAAACAAACAACTTTTTATTGTGGATTATGTGGGGGTTACATTTCACATCTTCATTTTTTTATTCAACAAGTTTAACAACTTATCAAACTCCAGAAGCTTGACATTCCCCCCTGTTTCTTCTACCTTTTATTCTTATAAAATATTACCTTCCCCTTTGTCCTAGTTAGTACTAGTTACCTTCTGGGTCAGAGGTTCCAAAACTCATTTGGTCTACCACCACTTTTTCAAAAAGGAAAAATATCATGAAATGTTATATTTTAGTTAGTTATC